GCCAAGCGCTGCGGGAGGAGAGCGCTGTGAGCGGCCGGCGTCTCTACTCCAACTTCGCTCAGCCTCCTGTCACAGTCCGGCAGAGCGGTGTGGGACGGAGACAGCACGCGCTGTCACAGGGGGCTGAGCTCTTCTCTCTGCACCGCTCGCTCAGCCTCCTGTGACAGCTGTCAGGATGGAGAGCGAGGTACAAGCAGTCAGTGATCAGTGATTGCTGAGTGTTCGTAGATAATTGAGGACAGAGTATGTGTAATATATCCTCAATTATGAATGAATGGGAAGATCTACATCACTTCCTGTTCATTCATAATTGTGGTTATAGTAAACATACTCTGTCCTCATGTTATCAATGAACAGGAACACTCAGTATAGAGGATTCCTGTTCATTGATAACAGGGGACACAGAAAAAGAGATTGAGGACTCTGTGCTCTCAATCTCTTTTTTTATTTTAAAAGGGAAATATCAGGGATCTGTTTAGAGCCCCAATATTTCCCCGGAGCCCCTAAAAGTAAAGTAAATAATATAAATATTTAATAAAAAATAAATAGAAATAAATATAAAAAATGTAAAAGTTTATTAAAAAAATAAATAAAAATAAAATATTTAAAAATTTGAAAAAGTTAAATAAAAAACCATTTTCGGTTTCGGCCTGACATTTTTTTGAATTTCGGTTTCGATTTGGTTTTGAAATTTCAGTGCACCTTAATGAAACACTTCTTACCAACCCTGATAACATTTAAAAGGCTATGCTGCTTATGTGTACTAGCGGTGGTCAACTATGATATCGGGGGCTTCCCCTGACAGACGCACAATGTAATGCTGCATAAACCTTTCAGAGACTGCTGATACTGGCAACAGGAGTGGTCATAGACTACAGGCATGCTACAAGAGATGGTCAGAGAGTGAGAACATGCTGCAGGTGATGGTCAGAGTGTGTAAGCATGCTAAGAGATGGTCAAAGAGTGTAGACATGCTGCAAGAGATGATCAGAGAGTGTAAACATGCTAAGAGATGGTCAGAGACTACAGGCATGCTACAAGAAATGGTCAGAGAGAGTAGACATTCTGCAGGAGATGGTCATAGACTATAGGCATGGTACAAGTGATGACCAGAGAGTGTAGACATGCTGCAGAAGATGATCATAGACCATAGACATGCTACAAGAGATGGTCAGAGAGTTAAGACATGCTGCAGGAATATTCATAGACTATAGCAGGGATCCCAACCTGAAGAAAGCCATTTCAGGGAGGTGCCCTCTGCCCCCCCCCCCCCCCCCCCCCCCACCCTGGGGGGGGGGGGGGGAGGAGAGCACCCCCCTGAAATTATAGCAGATAGCATGGGAAGCAATAGCTTCTTTGCTATCTGCAGGTTTGTTTTTTTGGGGTATTCTGACAACTGCTGAATAAAAACAAAAAAAAACAAAACAACCAGCATAGGAATGAATAGCTAGATTGCTATTGGCTGTTTCAATTTGCAATATCCAATAGCAAGCTGGCTATTGCCCCCGCCCTCTGCTGCTGTCAATCCCTAGAAGAGGCCCTGATGGAGAACTTCAGGACCCCCTCTGCTGATTGACAGCAGCAATGGGCGGGTGCAATAGCTAGTCTGCTATTGCAAAGTGAAATAGCCAATAGGAATCTAGCTATGCATTCCTTTGCTGGTTTTTTGTTTTTTTTGCTCTGACTGACGGCGGCCCCCGATGTCAGAAAAGAAAAAAAAAACAGATCGCAGGGAAAGGTTTACTCTGCTACATATAGCAGAGTAAACCTTTCCGGGAGAAAATGTTTCCCTCCAGGGCGCCCAGGAGCCGCTATCTAATAGCGGGAGACTCCCGGAGCATCCGGGAGAGTTGGGATGTCTGCTATAGGCATTCTACAAGAGATGGTCAGAGTGCGTAGACATGCTGATATGCTGACAGGGAATGCTTGGAGCGCTAGTTCCACAACAGCTGGTGTTTTATTGGTTGCCCATTCCTGATTTAAGGTGCACATAGATGTGTCACTCATTTGGAGCAGAATCCCTCTTGTGAGTGAAAAGCACTCGCCTCATAGTTCTCCTTTAAGTTGGCCATGCACTGGTTGAATTTTAGCCAGGTCCTGCTGTGTGGCCCCTCAGAAGCCCTCCATTCGACTTTTATCAAAGGAGCCCGTCTGAAAAATCTCAGCCGATCACTGACTGCAGCTGATTGGTTGGGATATTGTGACAGCAGCACACCGGCCACTGTCAGAATACAATAGCCCAGCGGAGGGGGTCCTCCATCCACAATGTTAGCAGACTCATAGGTGTGTATTTATAAAATGTTAGCAGGGCTGTTCACTAATGTTTTAGATCCTCACCACATTATGGCCACTAGATGGAGCCAAGGAACAAACATTTTACAAAAACAGATTTAAACCACCGGAGTTTCCTCTAAAATCTCATATACAGTAATACCTTGGTTTACAAGTAACTTGGTTTGAGAGCGTTTTGCAAGACAAGCAAACATTTCTGAAAAATGTTGCCTTGATATACAAGCAATGTCTTGCAATAAGAGCAAAATTTTGTAGAAAAGCGCCACCCGAATAAGGCTGTAGCAGTGCGAGCGAGGATGAGACTGTTTAACGACAATGCAATGTCACATTGGATAGATTCCTTGTTAAGGTTTCACGTAATGAAAAAGATTCCATTGAGTCAAGAGATAGCAGTGATTCCGTTAGTGATAGTGAAAGTTGTCCTGCACAATAATCCTCCTCTTTTGTCCCTCTCACACCGGCCACAAAGGTACCTGTAATTTGTTTATTTTTCTTTATATTTTGTACAGTATTATATTACAGTACAGTATTGTAATCATTTTATATGAATATTTTTGGGTTGTGGAACGAATCATCGGAATTTCCATTATTTCCTATGGGGAAATTCGCTTTGATATACAAGCGCTTTGGATTACAAGCATGCTTCCGGAACGAATTATGCTCGTAAACCAAGGTATTACTGTACTGTCATCTTCAACACGTTTATGTCATTTCAAAAGTCATTTTCACATTGATTTTTAAATCTGCAGCTGTCATTAATATCTGGTGATCCTGCAATGAAGGTCCTTGTTCAGGCACTTTCTATTTTAGGGTGACAACGCTCTGTCCCTGTCTTATGTCCCTAATTGTGTGTTGTCACCAGGGCCGGATTTACTCTCTCTGCTGCCCCAAGGCCAAGTTCCTCAATGTGCCTCCCTACCCACCAACCCAGGGATCCCAACCAGAAAAAAGTAATTTCAGTGAGGTGTCCCTGTCATTTCAGGGAGGTGTCCCTCTCATTTCAGGGAGGTTCCCTCTCCCCATCATCATTTCAGGCAGAGAGCACCCCCCTGAAATGATGGCAGATAGCACAGGAAGCAATAGCTTCTTTGCTATCTGCAGGTTTTTTTTTTGTATTCTGACAGTTGCAGTCGTCAGTAGTGATGGGCTCGGGTGTGTTCGCAGCTCCACGTGCCGAGCCCGCCAGGAAGCTGACAGCGCGCAGCGCCAATGACAGGTACTGAGACATGTTCACGGTCCGCAGCTGCAGAGATCGGGAAATGTCTCAGTTCCTGTGATTGGCGCTGCCAGCTTCCTGGCGGGCTCGGCACGTGGAGCTGCGAACACGCCCGAGCCCATCACTAGTCGTCAGAATAAAAAAAAATAAAAAAGGTATAGGAATGCATAGCTAGATTCCTATTAGCTATTTCACTTTGCAATAGCCAATAGCAAACTAGCTATTGCACCCGCCTTCCGCTGCTTTCAATCACCAGAAGAGGACCTGATAGAAAACCTCAGGTCCCCCTCTGCTGAATGACAGTAGCAGTGGGCGGGTGCATTAGCTACTTTGCTATTGGCTATTGCAAAGTGAAATAGCCAATAGGAATCTAGCTAAGCATTCCTATGTCTTTTTTTTTCTGACATCAGGCCGCGGCTCCCGATGTCAGAAAAAAATACACTATCGCAGGGAAAGTACACCTTTCCGGGAGGAAGTGTATCTCTCCCAGGCGGCTGGGAGCCGATATCTAATAGCGGGAGACTCCCGGAGCGTCTGGGAGAGTTGGGATGTCTGCCAACCCACCAACCCCCCTTACAATAGTGGTCAGAATTCCCCCCTTACAATAGTGGTCAGAATTCCCCCCTTACAATAGTGGTCAGAATTCCCCCCTTACAATAGTGGTCAGAATTCCCCCCTTACAGTAGTGGTCAGAATTCCCCCCTTACAGTAGTGGTCAGAATTCCCCCCTTACAGTAGTGGTCAGAATTCCCCCCTTACAGTAGTGGTCAGAATTCCCCCCTTACAGTAGTGGTCAGAATTCCCCCCTTACAGTAGTGGTCAGAATTCCCCCCTTACAGCAGTGGTCAGAATGCCCCCCTTACAGCAGTGGTCAGAATGCCCCCCTTACAGCAGTGGTCAGAATGCCCCCCTTACAGCAGTGGTCAGAATGCCCCACTTACAGCAGTGGTCAGAATGCCCCCCTTACAGCAGTGGTCAGAATTCCCCCCTTACAGCAGTGGTCAGAATGCCCCCTTACAAACATCTAAAAAAAAGACCTAATTGCTGTCCTGGCACTGGCTCTGCCAAATGGCATTGGTCCTTGAACTACACAGGCACCATCAGATCAGAGGTCAATCACAGTTTAAGGAACCCCTAGTAACCTCTGGAGGGACCCTGGTTGGGAATGGCCAGCCAGAAAATTCTCTTCCAGAAGGTGTCAGCCCTGCCCACCTGAGAATGTTGGGAAGTATAGGAGTATTGCAGTAGGAGATACTGGTAACAATATAATACAGTATGTATAGTAGATGGCACAGTCTTATAAGCTTGTATGCTGGGTGCCATGCATGCTGAGACTCACCTGCAGCAGGTAGATGAGGCTGGACAGCCCCCGGGGCACACTGCGTGAATGTCTGGGAGGTGATAGAGATCTGTGAACACTCTCCTGTGTATGTGTGTGTGGAGACTCCAGCGTGATTGTTTGACCAGTTGCTTGGTGATGGTTGTGACGTGAGCAGCCAGCAAACTCTGTACACAACTTAAAGGAACCTTCACGGAGAGAACATGGGCGAGGCTATAAGAATATTTCTTCCTGCAAACTTTGTCCTCCGAACAGGGGCGTCCCGAGGCTGGGTGTCACCCGGAACGGAGACCAGGTGACACCCCTCAGTGACGTCATCGCGCATGTGTCCAATTGACGCCTGCCGGCGGCCATCTAAGTGATGGAGGCTTTCAGAGGGAGGAGGGGACGTTCACCCGGCGGGATGAAGTATGCCGCCGGGTCTCCTCCTCTCTCCTGACACTGTTGGGCTCTCGGTCCATGACCGAGTGCCCAACTTTTTAGAGGGGGGTGATACCAAAATGACTGTCAGTTATTTTGGTGTCACCCCTGCAATGGTGACACCCTGGTGCGGGCCGCACCCCCCTTGTGACGCCACTGCTCCTCCTCGCACCGCCCACTCGGCCTCTTGACAGCTGCTCTCCTTCCTGCTGGGCGCCTTAAGGCGGCCGCCTGACTTGCCTTGCGGTAGCGCCGGGCCTGCATACAATGCAGGGATCCCAACCTGAAAAAAGCAATTGCAGGGAGGTGCCGCGAGCGACAGTATGCGTTCGCTCAATTCCCGATTTATTGAGCCAACGTGTGACAGTCTCATTGTCACACGTCGGCTTGAACTATGAGGATGAGTGATTTCCACTCACCTCATAGTTCTCCTTTAATGCAAATGATGTCCCTTGTCAGTGCTTTCTCTCTGACATCCTAGTCATTGGTATTATGACAAGTAAAGGACAACTAAATAAAGCATTGCTGGATAAAAAGGTATTATGTTAGGACGCCGCCTACACTCTATAAACAGTTGTTAGTGACACGACGCCACTGTTACTATTTACTCTAATCAAGAGTTCATTGCACAAGTGAGTTACGCAAGGCCTGTGAATGGAATTCAGGAGGATTAACAATGCTATATAGATAGGAACTGATATTCTCTCGCTGGAACGTGGATATCAACAAAACATTACTAACCAAACAATTACTAATCTGACCGGAGGAAATCAACACTGCGAACTGAGCTTCCCTTCTAAAGTTCTCAAGGCATAGCGCTAAACATAACATTATATCACAACCCAGATCAACAAGCATATTATTGACTTCCTAAGGGGTAAAGCTAGAAACGGATTGTCCCTATGACAAAAACGTTAAAGTCATATTAAAGCCGCAATTTTTTTTAACAGCATCAGATCTATAGAGGTGAGTGGAGCAGGCAACAATAATTGTGTCATTTAGGTAAAGCGTAGAAACTAGGGTTGCACAGATACCAAGTACAGTACTCGGTACAAGTACGAGTACCGATACTTTTGAGCTCCAAGACTAGACTAGAGAAAAATTCAAAAATTGGGAGGCAGCTGTCATTTGTAAGGAGCACACGGAGCTCCTGGGATTTATACATCTCTGTTTTAATGTTCAATTTTGTTTTTAGAAATATAAATAAAGGGATGCACCGATACCAGTTTTGCGAGTACTGGTACTCGCCGAGTACTTACAAGTACGAGTACTGATACATTTTTGTTTATTGTCATGTGACAGTTTTTCTAAAACAATGCAGACTAATGATTTCAGGACAGTTGGTGGAGCGCCAGAGCCCGGTCCCAGCTGCAACCGCTGCAACCCTGGTAGTTCTCATGAAAATTCCAAGTATCTGCACTGGTACTCGAAAAGTATCTGTGCATCCCCAGTAGAAACCAATTTGTTGTGTTTACAAGCACCGACTCCCGGATTCCCTTTGATGCTTCCCAGGTTGGGGAGTGCACAAGTATAACTGTATACAGAGTCCACTGATCCAACACCCTTGGGCTCCCCATGACTTCAAGTCTTCTGGCTTGCTGTGCCTCATGCCCCTTCTAGTCATCTGGCTGCCTTTGCCATGCATCCCTTCTAGTTATGTGTCTACCTCTGCCGCACACCTCTCCTAGTCATCTGGCTGCCTCTGTCTTGCACCCCTTCTAGTTCTTTGGATACCTGTCCCACGCATCCCTTCTAGTTCTCTGGCTGCCTCTGCCATGCACCCCTTCTAGTCCTCTGGCTGGCTGTGCCATGCACCCCTTCTAGTCCTCTGGCTGCCTCTGCCATGTACCCCTTCTGGTTCTCTGGCTGCCTCTGTCATGCACCCCTTCTAGTCCTCTGACTGCCTGTGCTACATGCCCCTTCTAGTTCTCTGGCTGCCTGTGATGGGCACCACCTCTAGTTCTTTGGATGCCTGTCCCATGCACCCCTTCTAGTTCTCTGGCTGCATACCTCTTCTCGTACTCTGGCTGCCTGTGCCATGCACCCCTTCTAGTTCCCTGGCTGCCTGTGCTATACACCCCCTTCTAGTTCTCTGGCTGCCTGTGCCATGCACGCCTTCTAGTTCTCAGGCTGCCTCTGCCGTGCACCCCTTCTAGTTCTCTGGCTGCCTGTGCCATGCACGCTTTCTAGTTTTCTGGCTACCTTTGACATACACCCCTTCTAGTTCTCTGGCTGCCTGTGCTTCATGTCTCTTCTTGTACTCTGGCTGCCTCTGCCATGCACCCCTTCTAGTTTTCTGGCTAACTTTGACATACACCCCTCGTAGTTCTCTGGCTGCCTCTGCCACGCACCCCTTCTAGTCCTGTGGCTGTCTGTGCCATGAACCCCTTGTAGTTCTCTGGCTGTCTCTGCCATGCACCGCTTCTAGTCCTCTGGCTGCCTCTGCCATGCACCCCTTTTAGCCCTGTGGCTGCCTGTGCCGCACACACGCTTCTAGTTCTCTCTAGCTTCCTGTGCATGTTGGCGCAGGCAGCATCTCAACATAGACTTGGGAGTCTTTCTCCCAGAAGCGTATATGAAAAGGGTGGCTACATAGCACCCTGCAAGGGAACCAAGCCACCCAATAGAAGAAGACCTGAGGCTGCAAACCTTGGACTGGCTCAATCGAGAAGAACTGGGAAAGGGAACCAGTATTCATATATGTAATGGAAAATGTAACAGGAGGACCTGGAACACTCAAAACTTCCAAATGGCCAGTATCGGAGTCAGGAATTACAGCAGGGAGATATCACTACTGGAGCATCCAAGATTTGCAGAAAGGCGGAGCTGACTCAACCAAGCTCCACCGCTAACTAAAATATCCCTTTTGGGCAAGCTGACCATTTTTCCCAGGGACATTTCAGTTGACATTAAAGTTCAGCAAAGGAAAGGAAATGTTGCCATGTCATGCATTGCCCAGCGGTTTTAAAGGACAAGTCTATTCAGTTCAAGGCACCAAAAATGCAACATGAGGGACTTTTTCCTAACTTGAACAGGTGAAATGAGGAAATCCATGTGTCACCGAACAGGTCATTTATCATTCTAGAATGTTTCCAAGTCTTTAAGACTTTCATCAAGAAGTTTGCATGTTCTCCCTGTGCTTGCGTGGGTTTCCTCCGGGTACTCCGGTTGTCTCCCACACTCCAAAGACATGCTGGTAGGTTAATTGGCTCCTGTCTAAGTTGGCCTTGTATGTGTGTGTAATACGGACCATAGATTGTAAGCTCCTTGAGGGTAGGGACTGATGTGAATGTGTACTATGTAAAGCGCTGCATAAAATTGTTGGTGCTGTATAAATATCAATAATAAATAAATACACTGTGTATTTGTGTACTGTATGTAAACCTAATAACTATAATTTGATATATGCTTTTCTATAGGGCTACAGCTAATGATTATTTTCATAGTCGATTAGTTACCCGATTATTTTTTCAACTAATCGATTGGTTGTATTAAAAAATTATCTCTCCCCGTCCCCCGCCCTCTCTCTCTCTCCCTCCCTTCCTCCACTACCAACTAATAGATGATGAGAATAGTTGCCAACTCTTCTCATAATCGATTTAGTCCATTAGTTGTTGCAGCCCTACTTTTCTATGTTAATGTTGTTTAACTTTCAAAACATTTTAATTTGAACCTTTGTAGATAAACTTTAACAAAGCTACACATGATTATATGGTAACAATCGTAGGTGGTACAGTAAAAACACTAAATACAGGACCATGTTTAACAAACTTAATAATGGAACGTGGAGAACCTCATCAGTATTATAACTGCTGAGTATGTTGAGGGGCCTTGTGTAATGGTCCAT